AATGATAGATGTGCTTGGGTATATATGGGCCTAGGCTTCTGTGGACCTCGGTTTCTGGGCCTCGACTATGCAAATCACCTCGACTTGAGTGCCACGTGGTTCAGCATGAGTTGGCTGTAGGCCACAGTGGGTTGTCCAAGTGTGCAAACACGTAACACATTATATATGTAATTTGTATTCAATACGGTCCTCACTCGTACATCAATAATGGGTAAATTTTTATTGGATGACAATGAGATTTGAACATAGAACATGTTCTTATTTTGGTCTGTTAATTTGAATGCGTAAACTACTAAAGGCGAAATAAGTTTATTTGTTAAATTGTTTGGAGTCTAGATATACGTGCATAGATTTGCTACATGTTTACTCAGGTGTACATCCTGGGTGATATAATATATAGGTGACATTCTATCATTGGTTGATAGATTTTTTTTTTCTTTTTTATCAGTCAATAACTGAATGCAACTTGTCCATAAAATCGTCCAGATTTTACACCTAAGTGATAAGTAGAATAATCAATAAGTGCAAACAGAATTTCCTGACATATAATGCATACTTACATTTTAATCCACAAAAGATATAAGGATTACAATTTGTCAGAGCCCTGTGGTGTCCCATCCCTAACCATGCTTAATAGAGGCAGCAAGGCAGTTTCAGGACAAATTTTGCGGTTCTTTTTAATTCATAATAAGATTTGTGTTCAGTTCACTTGGTTTCGTTTTCAGGTTGTGGCGTTGTACATCGGACGTTGATCAATTAATTAATCTCTATAATCATATTTAATTTATTTTAAGCAAGTCCAACCAGTATTGTATAATACAATAATATCTATAATATCTATAATCATGATATATTACAGTTCAGTGAATTATGTATAAATTCATTGTTTCTTTAACCTTGTGCCTTAGCAGATTCTATTGAGATCGTCACTTTCTTTTTCAACCCTTGATTAAAAAATATTCAAAAAAATAAATTGTATCATCCTTCAGTTTCAAAAATTGGCTAATTTAATTTAATTACTAATCACCTAATATTTATCTTAATGGCCCTTACATGCAATAAAATAAGAGGTAGTTTCTTCATAAATGATATTAATAAAGAAATAAATTTTAATTACACTATCCTATGGATTATTTTTATTAATCGAGACCAAAGCCAATTTGTGATAGTTTTTGCTTATGATGTCATGGAATGGGGACTATTACATTAGGTCCATAAAATTATAAAATACCTCATCTTCATTCAAGCAACACATGCAAATATATGGTCACGTACCACACAACAAATTATATATTTTATTCTTTATACTTGAATATTGCGATTTTTTTTATCTAAATAATCAACGTTATATATATATATATATATATATAATTGAGATGAATTAAGTATAATAAACAACCAACATAATTGTCCCTCCTAAAAGAACTCAATGCTAATATATAGGGACATAGATACATATAAAAATGCTTAAATTCTTAGTAAATTAACATATTTTCATACGTGGAGGACCCACAATTGACTTTTATATAAAGAAGCAATATATCGATATACATTATACCAACAACAATAATGTATATCACGCATTCAATTCAATTGTCAATATTGAGTGTTACAAAAAAATAGTTATTGATGTATAAAATGACTAGGTAACGAAGAAATGATACTTTATCTAAACGTCAAGGACTCAAAATAGTAGATTCTTGCTTAAACGAATGGCATCAATGGGCATGAACAACAAATCAAATTTCCCACAATAGTGATCAAGACATGGGAATGTGTTAATCGAGAAATTGATAGTACAATTCGTGGGTAACACAAGTTATCCAATTAATTGTAGAATGCATATTCCTATATTTCATTTGCTTCATTCCTTCAATTAATTGCCACCCATTTTAGTGCTTATGCTAGCTGCTGCACAGCAGTTCAAAATAATTGTCTTCAACTAAAACTAAAATGAAAAACACCAAAAGTACAATCAGCAAAGCATCAAGCTAGTGAGATCCACAACCCCCCTTGAATTATATGCCTAATCGCCACCTACTTGTTTAAGAAACAACTAACGATTGCAGGGTAAAGAAGTACTAGGATTGTCACAGATGTTCACCAACACTCAAATTTGGATTGGATATTTCTAAACCCATCTCTCAATTTTTAAAGCTAGACTTTTGGAGGAAGCTCAAGTTGAGAAGAATGATTTGATTGATTACTTAAATAATAGTTGCGAAAATTTAACCAACAAGTCTTTCAACGTCTTATTTTGATGGAAATTAAACGTAAATAAGTCCAAGATTGTCGCCTTTATATTGTCAAAGATGTGTTAGTCTTTCAAATAACAGTTGCTTTTGAGTTTGCATTTTCTACCTGTGATTGGATTCTTGATTCCTTTAAAAAGATAGTTGAGTCAATAATTTACGCTCAAAATTGGTTGTACAGTAACAAGGAACTTATAATGATCCTTCAATAGTTGACTATCAATTTTTATTTCTTAATTTTTGTTCCGTAAAGGTTTGACTAGTTGTTAAGCTGGCGAAAGAGTGAAGGCGCACAGTGAGGAAAATTTGCCGTGAACCATGTTTTATGTTTCCGAGAAAAATTGATACAAGATTTGACATTAGCATGTGTGACACAGCACCAACGTGTGAAATAACAACTTTAAGACTTTTTCAAAAGCATTATTATCCATCCACCATTTTTGTTTTATTGGCAAGAAAATTTATCTTTCTTGATTCTTAAAATTTTAGTATTCTTATGTGGATTATTTAGCCCCGTTTGTTTCTCATTTTCGGAAGAATGATAATAAAAAATATAGTCATGACGGACCTCACACTATGATAGAAATTTAAATTTGATGATTTGATGTGATGGATAACGATCATATTTTTCATTGAAAAAATAAAGAGAACCAAACGGGGGCCAGTAAACTTACCAACTATCTATGGCCCATGACATCCACTAAACCTGGAAACTTTGGGCCGTGACACTTTATGAAAGCGACCGACATATGTAGACAAGGAAAAGGTCCGCAAAACGCGTTGGTTCACCTTCTCTCTTTCTTTCTTCCGTCACAATGTTTCTATTCAAAGAAATAGATAAAATCAAAATAAAAGAGAATTAAAAATATAGAAGTCTACTTAGGCTTCTTTGACTATAGAGTTAAGAGTGCATTTGATTGCAAACATGAAGTTTGCATGGAAAGAAAATAAATTTTAGACAATTTTATTTCCTAGAACTTATTTATATGAAAATTGGTAATTAAGTGTGTTTGATTGATTTAATTTTTTAATTTAGAAAATATTATATTTGTCCAATTTTTATTGATAGGTTGATGAGAGAAAGAGAGAAAGTGAGAGTGAATTTCCTAAAAAATAAAATCTTGCTTACCCTAAAGAAAATATTTTCCTTGAAAAAATGTCAATGAAATAGCATAAAAATAGGAATTTGGGTGAAAAACACATTTTCTGTAGAAAAATATTGACAATCAAACGCACCTTCAGCATTACATATCACACTGCCATATGAGACAAAAATCTCATTACATTTGTTTGTTTTAAGGATAAAGATGTATGTACACATAAGAGGGTTACCAAATGGTTTACACCCCCTCACAAACATGCGGGTCCCATCTGTTATTAAATAATTCGAGTTGTGGTCCCCACTTTATGTTGTGAGTAGTGTGTAAAAGATTGTGTACATGTAGCATGATCCTTTAAGGATAAAGATGTATGTCCTATCCACCTTATCATGTAAACTCACAATGCAAGTTTAGCCCCTGTTTGATTTAGGAAAAATCTTATTACTTTTGCTTATTTAAATTTTAAGTATCGATTTTACATGAAAAAGTAATATAGTTGATTTAACAAGTCGATCTCAACCATTTAATGTTTTCATAGTTGACCAAACAAGACTTAGTTTACCTTTCCTTTTTCAAATACATTTTAGTACTATCCAATTCATATTATTAGACAAACTCTCAATGCATGTTTGGCCCGTGTTTGGTTTAGATAAAAATCAAATTATTACTCCCTTCGTCCAATTTATATAGGCTTGTTCACATGAATTAAGAAATCTTATTTAATATTATTTAAAAAATAATTTTTGGCAAAAACATTCCTAATTTATCCTTATTTATGTTTGTACAATTTCAAGATTAAGTGGAAAAAACTAAGTAAATTAAATAAGAATATAATAAAAAAAACAAAAAAATCAAAACATTCTCAACGAAGGAATAGGACTACATAATTGGGACAATAAAAAAAGAAAAGCCAACCTATATAAATAGGACGAGGGAGTAGTAGATTTTGATAAAAATTGATTAAATGTATGGTTGAAAAGTTGTGAATTTCATTAAATGCGTGATTGTAATTAATTGTTGACTTTGATTTAAATTTTAATCTGCTTTTTAGGCTAAATCAAATTGGGGTTCGATATGTAGTGCACAAAATCAGACTTTTCAAGTTGATCGAGTGAATTGAAGATAAATAGAATGCTAGGCCGTGAATGATGATGATGTAAAATAGAATTCTACGTTTAGAAAATGAAGTTTAACAATTTTTCCGTTCGTATATTCATAATTTCTCTACCAAACACGTTTTCGTAATTTTCAATAACTAGCAATAACACCAATATTATCACCAAAGTTTAAGAGTATATACATGAAGATATTAATAAACACACAAACACGAATTACTTTTATCAATTGTATCTCCGTAAAACTTCCAAGAAAAGTACAACTTTTTTATGGCTAACTATTTACAACCTTTTACATTTCAATAATTGCTTGAAACGTCTATAAAATAAAATTCCAGTGGGATTCAAATTTTGAAATTTAATCCCAGAAATTAAAGAATAAAAGAAGATTATATAATCCTATAGACAGAAAAACAACCCTTCCCATGTATACAATCTTAAACTAAAGGCCAAAGTCCCTGAGTATATATACTCAACAGCAGACGAATGAGCCCAAAAATGTGAAAGAACGAAAAAAAGGTTATGAAGAGAGACTAGTGGCCAGCACCGGGGCTAGGAACTGATCGGAGAATCCGGTCGACGGCAGCGAGGTGGCGGGCTATGAGCTTTTCATCAATGGTGACGGCGTGACCTTTCTTGCTGGGTGAAGAATTCGGCACACTGCCTTTTGGAAGAGAAGGTAGATACAACCTTTCCTCCATCGATGGAACCTTTTTCATAGTATTATGTTGGACTTCCAAAAGCTTCCTACCGTGTGTAGATGACACAAAGGTTGCAAACATCATTAAGGACACCAAAAGTACTAAGGTTTTTTGAGCCATTTTACGTTGGTAGAGAGCAGATGGAGAGGATGAAAAGAGGAGAGAAATTTTCTGGTTTCTGTTGGTAAGTAGAAACACAGACAGAGAGAAAGAGAGAGGGGTGATGAGGATTGATTTTTAGGAGTGGTCGACGCTGTATAAATAGTGTTGAGAGAGGTTTGAATAAGTTGCAATGGTAATGCGTGACGGCTAGAAAGAGGTTCTTGGGGATCAAGTTAGTCGAGGCCAAGTCAAACTTGAAGTTTTCTTGGTGGAGCAACGTTATTTTAAGAGAAATGCTACAAAAATAGGGTCAACAACAAGGTTAAAAATAGGCGAAACAAGTGTCGAAGCATGAATGTACAATTTGAAAAAAAGTAATAATAATAAAATAAAAACAATCCAACCAAATACTACCAACTTCGTCTGTCCACGCTTTCCCTATTTTTAACCCTATTCAACCATCATTTTTCTTATTTTAATATGAACTTTTTTAGACTATGGGGTTGAATTTTTGCAAGATATAATTTGATTTTTAGGCAGTGTGAATGGTGGGTTGTGTTCTGTTTTAGAAACGCCGCGTGGAAGCTGAATTAGGTGGGGGAGTGAGATAAGCCGCCGGTCATCGTCATTGCCATTGTCATGTTTCTTAGTAATAATTTTTTCTTGCATTTGCACCGTCAAACATTAGACTGAAATTTGAGATAGATTGCTACTTGATAATTATTAATGTTGTATAATCAACATTAATGTCAGTGAACAAGGAAAATTCTATGACTTCCACACAACATTTAATGCTAATGGTGGGTTAGGTGGGATAATTTTGAATGCTTACATTTATGCTGTTAATAATGAGATTATTTTTATCAGTTGATAAAAATTATTTCTGACCAAACTAAATTACCAATTTAAATTAAATTAATAATTATAGAGTTGAGTTCATGATTGCACGACCAGCTGCTTTTCAAATTTTAGTGCATTATCCCATGATCACTCGTGATTAAACCAATATGGCCTGGGAGTTGTTCATTAATACTACAAATCAATTTTATTTTTATTCTTTTGTTATGTTAGCCTAAATCAAATTTTATTACATTATCCCATGGCTTCAAATATTAATCTTTTGAACTTCTATTATTTGTTGGACATGATCGACGAGATTCGAAGTGCTAACTTGTTAGAGAAATTGTCACTATAAGATTGATTCGACAACTTTTTTTCCTCCTCTAGTTGGTTGAATAGTTTGTGCAAAAGTTTAAATTGTTTGATACGTTATATATGTAATATGTATTCAGTACGCTCCTCACTTGTACATCAATAATGCGTAAATTTTTATTGGATGACAATGAGATTTGAACATAAAACATGTACTTATTTTGGTCTATTAATTTGAATGCGTAAACTACTAAAGGTGAAATAAGTTTATTTGTTAAATTGTTTGGAGTCTAGATAAACATGATAAGTCTAGATATACATGCATAGCTTTGCTACATGTTTACTCAGGTGTACATCCTGGGTGATATTATATACAGGTGACATTCTATCATTGGTTGATAGAATTTTTTATTTTTATTTTTTTGCCTTCTTTATCGGTCAATGACTGAATGCAACTTGTGCATTAAATCGTCCAGATTGTACACCTGAGTGATAAGTAGAATAATTGCAAACAGAATATTCTGACACATAATGCATACTTAAATTTTAATCCACAAAAGATATAGGGATGACAATTTGTCCGAGCCCTGTGGTGTCTCGTGTCTAATCATGCTTAATAGGGGCAGCAAGGTAGTTTTGGGACAAATTTTGCTGTTCTTTTTAATTCATAATAATATTTGTGTTCAGTTCACTTGGTTTCGTTTTAGGTTGTGGCGTTGCACATCGGACGTTGACCAATTAATTAATCTCTATAATCATATTTAATTTATCTTAAGCAAGTCCAACCAGTATTATATAATTCAATAATAACTATAATCATGATATATTATAGTTCAGTGAATTATGTATAAATTCATTGTTTCTTTAACCTCATGCCTACCCAGATTCTATTGAGATCGTCACTTTCTTTTTTAACTCTTGATTAAAAAATTGTCAAAAAATAAATTGTATCATCCTTCAGTTTAAAAAGTTGGCTAATTTAATTTAATTACTAATCACCTAATATTTATTTTAATGGCCCTTACGTGCAATAAAATAAGAGGTAGTTTCTTCATAAATGGTATTAATAAAGAAATAAATTTTAATTACACTATCCTATGGATTATTTTTATTAATCGAGACCAAAGTCAATTTGTGATAGTTTTTGCTAATGATGTCATGGAATGGGGACTATTAGATTAGGTCCATAAAATTATAAAATACCTCATCTTCATTCAAGCAACACATGCAAATATATGGTCACGTAGCACACAACAAATTATATATTTTATTCTTTATACTTGAATATTGCAATTCATTTATTTTTTTTTTATCTAAATAATCAACGTTAATATATATAAAATTGAGATGAATAAAGTATAATAAATAACCAATATAATTGGCCCTCCTAAAAGAACTCATTGCTAATATATAGGGACATAGATACATATAAAAATGCTTAAATTCTTAGTAAATTAACATATTTTCATACATGGAAGACCCACAATTGATTTTTATATAAAGAAGCAATATACCAACGACAATAATATATCACGCGTTCAATTCAATTGTCAAGTATTGAATGTTACATAAAAATAATTATTGATGTATAAAATGATTAGGTAACAAAGAAATGATACTTTATCTATACATCAAGAACTCGAAATAGTAGATTCTTAGTTAAACGAATAGCATCAATAGGAATGAACAACAAATCAAATGTCCCACAATAGCGATCAAGACATGGGAGTGCGTTAATTGAGAAATTGATAGTACAATTCATGAGTAACACAAGTTCTCCGAATCCTAGCAAATAACATAGGTGAGGTCCCCATAATTGATTTAGGATGCATATATAATACAAAAGGCCAACATAGTTTACATCTATGTATACAAATTAATGATAAAGAAAAATAGAGTTTATGGGTATTGAAATGCCTAAACTGTGGGCATGAAAGGGTCATTGAAAGGTGACACTGCCGGGGAGAATATGTACAGTTGGTCCATAGACAATTCACCATGTTTAAAGAGGAGGTGTCTCCTTGGGACAAAATCCCTTTTGGGGATGCCAAAAGTGCTTCAATAGTCAATAAGAAGATATACGTGTTGGCAATTAATTGCAATAGATACGAGCTTTTCATAGATGTTTGAACAGATTTAACTTTTTACCTAAAATATGTGATGACAAGGGTTTGTTCAACTACCCTTTAAGTTAAGTAGTTATACTTCAAGACATCCCAACACTAGCAGTCCAACTCATTTTTGTTAAAACGGACTGACATTTTTTTGTTTTTTATTGGTTCACATGATTTGGCCTCCATAATTAACCAGACTAAAGTGGGTGGTTTGACGTGACATTGTCCCTTATCTTGTGGATATATTGAAAGATGAATGGTACACGAGGGAGACTTTAGAGAAATGCTGTTAGCACTGTTAATATTACAATATCAGTTTAGGTAGTGTTGTAATATTTTTTTAAAAAGTTTTAAACTTTCACAACAAATAATAATATTCAGTTTTGATTTTTAATATTAACTTCATTACAAAATTAAATCTCATAATTTAGATTGTAACGTAAACTTAAATATGATTTATTTTTATGAATGTGGGGGTTGAATTTCTCTCTATAAAAAGGAGTGATTTTCATGGAGTTAAACATAACATGAAAAAAGATAATTTCATAGAATACTTTCTACACCTATATATTGTTTTTTATAATTTTGACAATTTGATAAAGGTTCGTTCACTTATCTTTCTATGGTCGTCTCATAGAAGGGAAACCAACTGTGAGCCACATGGATTTTTATCTTGGAGTTGTGTAATGCCAAAAGTGTCTGTACGAAGGAGAGATAACATGACTTTATGACAGCGTCTTTGATGTGACTCTTTAAGGTTTGCATTTCTAACTCTTCTCTTCTTATTGTTTAATTATAATGTTATCATATTATTATGTTTATACAAATATTGAATTAAGTTATTTATATTTATTAGTTGATACGTTTATTTACACACAAATTTGAGTGAGAAATTGTGATTTGGAACTTGTGGTTTCATCCCCTTCTAATAGGCGATGCCACCCTCTGTTGGGTATGAAAAATAGTGGGAATAATCAACTGCTAACACTTTTCGACAATGGAAAAGTTGCTTTTTTTGATATTACAGAGCTTCAGGCTAGAGCCATTAAATTGCTTGCAAACAGAGAAATGGAAGGGATGAAACCAAGAGAAGTAAAATCCGAAATGAGAGGATGAGAAGCAAAGTCCCAGGGAAATAAAAAATCAATAGATAAGTTTTCTATTCCCCTCTTCATCTGATTAGTAATTTTGGATTGATGAACATTATTAAGACAATTTTTAGCCTGGTCTGTACCAATGATGGGGAAAAAAATATTGCATTTTCTTAAATATATATGTGCATATTACATTAGTATCACATGTGATGACTTTCCATATAAATTCTTTATGATAGTGTTGTAGTGAGCAATCCACTAAAATATAAATTTCTACTGGATATATCAATTTTAATAGTACTAAAGAATTGCCATCTGCCATTGGTAGGCATCAATGTTCTAGTGCTCTCACTGAGGAGCTTATTGGATGTTTCCAAGATTAGTTCCTTTAGTGCATGTTATTTGCTAATGATGTAGTTTTAGCTGATGATATTAGGAGGGAACAAATTCATAAGTCTGGACTTAAAGGAGCACTGAATTAAATTAAATCCTAGTAAATGAAATCAGTAATTACTAATTTTTTGTTGGTAGTATTGTTGTAACTTTCAAAAGCTTCTAACTTTCATCATATTTCTAATTAGGGTAATTGTGCAAAACGTCCTTAACTTTCATTTTTTTGGTATTTTTGTCCCTATTTTCACATTTCATTGCTCAAAAGGTTTTTGTCACCCATTTTTCCAATAAAATGATGATTTTACCTCTGATTCAAATAAAACAAAAAATAAATAACTTATTGCAATCACAGTCCTAAATTTTTCAAAACATCACAGTTTAGTCCTAAATTCTCCTTCACCACCACTTTCACAACCCTATCACCTTCCGACCACAACACTTACTAGACTCCACCACCAACACCAGCCTCACCACACTTTCCCCTACCTCAAACCCACCTGAATTCGTCGAAAAATCAAGCCAAAATATTTCAGTGAACGCAGCGATTGTGCAACTTCGATTCTGTCAAAATCAAGCCAAAATCTCCAATTTCGACGACACCCGTGCCATGCCTAACATTCCAGTGAACTATACACATCAAGGCATCCCTTTCCATGGTCACCAGTCATCCATAAACACATGGAATCAAAACCAATAGGCTCGTCTTCAAACATAGCGATTGTGCAACTTTCAGATGAATTTCTTGGCGAGGGTGGTGGGACCCATGATCGCGGACCACTACTACAAGCACCTACTCTTCACGGCGCATCCAATGAACATACGGGTTGTCCCCAATTTGGCCTAGAAATGGCAGCTTACTCGGGAGAAAATAACTCGCGCTTCAACCAGTCTGATTCCCTTTTGTTTGATGTTCTTTCACATCTAAAATCAATCGCTCCAACCAGCATACAATTCAAGGTGAAATGACCATGGTTACTGAATCAATTGTTGCAATTCACCAATCAGATGAAGCAATTTTGGATTTGGCCTCAAGAACAACTTGCCCGCACGAATGAGGATTTCTTCCATTAGGTCATGGCTCAAATGTGATTCAATACACAAATCAACATAGGGAAAATGAAATTCAGGGTCAAAAAGCATTGGATAACCGCTCAATTGCAGAAATTACAGCACTTGTTTGTCGAATTTTGGAGTCAAATGATGTTCTTCATAAACCTATAACTGCTGGTCCAATTCCTTTAACTTCTGTGTGTAATTCCTACAAATCGATATCACCATTACAACCCTGGTGGTGGTGGAGTTCGTCGGGCATGGCGGTGGCTTGGTAGGGTTGTGAAAGTGGTGGTGGAGGAGAATTTAGGACTAAGCTGTAATGTTTTGAAAGATTTAGGACCATGATTACAATTAGTTATTTATTTTATTTTTGTTTTATTTGAATCAAGGATAAAATCATCATTTTATTGGAAAAATGGGTGAAAATGACTTTTTGTGCAATGAAAGGTGGAAATAAGAGCAAAAATGTTAAAAGATGTAAGGTAGGAACGTTTTGCGCAATTACCTTGAAAGGTATCGACGTTTTGTGCCAATTACCCTTCTAATTATTTGGGATTTAGTTACTTTTAGTTTTTATTTCATTTTAATTTTGGAGTTACAAAATTGTGAATACAAGTTTGATTTCAAAAGTTAATTTGTAATATGTATTTTCATAGAGTTGATGTCTTAATTTTAATCATTGTTGGTCAATCTAGCTATTTTCATGCAGGGCTGGCCCAAAAAATTTAGAGCCTCTAGACGACTAATTATTATACGTTCTCAAACACAACCTTTTTTACAAGTGTAACATTTAAATAAATAATATTTTATGTTAAAACAAAGATTTTTATTTTTCAATTCAAAATATAGAGTAGCAAAACAAAACATCTCTCAACCTTTTTATTCCTTTTTCATTCGGCACATTCAAATTCAAGTTTTCTTGTAAACATAATTATAACTAAAAAGTAGAACCTGATAGATGAGTCGGAAATAAAAATTCCCAAATTTCTCCAAATGAAAGGATTCAGAAATCAACATACAAGAAAAAAACATGTAATATGTAGTTACAAAGGATAAGAAAAAAATCCATTGAGCAAATGACACATTATAAATTCCTATTTTTGGAAATCTTTATTAGTATCGAACTCTAAATCTGAAGCCTAGTAGAAAATGCTGAGGTAAATTTAAAAATAAAATCTGAAAACAATAGGAAAGCAAATGTATGTTAATAATTTCTAATTGACTAGGAAAACATATTAAGGACTGAATACTAAAAACACCGTATTTTTGTCCTATGAACATTATCTCATTTTCCATAATAATTAAAGTTTTCCTGCATCAATTATGCTGTTTTTTTACACTTCTACTATGTATACAAGGAAGAAACACATACACTTCTACATGTTTTCCCTCTTTATGTCTCCTTCCTGACATCTTTAGTGTCATGATTTCAAAACTATATCCAGGTGACGCCCTAAGGGTAATAATGATTAGGAGCAAAGCATCTCCTCTTTTAGTTTATTAGTACATTTGTTTTTCTTAGTATTGACTATTGAGAGTGCTTCAAGGACCTTGCAGGTCTTCATAATATTATGAGTTTTTAAGCCTTTTAGAGTTGAATCTAATGAATACTTAGAATTTGTTCCTTGATTCGAACAAGTTCTCTGGCGAAATCTTGGTAGAAATTTTCAACCTTAGATAACTTTCAAATTCAATGGTAATAGCCTGACAGGCTTTCGTTGTTCATTGTTCCCACTTGAACACAAACCCTTAATTCACAAAATCAAGACGCAGAAAGCAAACTCCTAATCCACAAAAATAAGAAGTAAATAACAAAAACAAGAACCCAAGCATCAAATGTATATATATAACAAATGTGTCTTTGTTCCAACGGTCGCGTAAGCCCCATAAAGAAGATAGGCAAATCGAAGCAATTGGATGTCCAACTCGGGCCGATCAATAGAAATACTCCTCCCTTGTCATGCTAAAGTTGTAGATATAGGGATTTTGAGAATACGCTTTAAGGACCAATGGGAATCCACAAAGAAATGATCCAATTAATCAAGATACACAATGAGGATCGTATCCATACGATTTTACAGGAGATCCGGACCCATTTTTCTGATCCTTCGAGGAAAAGATTCATTCTCTTCATAACACAACATCCTTATGCACCCATTT